GGATAATTTTTAACAGAGGCAACTTTTTAAAACATGCGGCCACTTTCTCAAAAATTTTAATTGATAAGAAAAAACTTATAAATATTAATATAAATCATTTCTTTTGAAGTATTTCTCCATATGATTTTCACTCACATGACAAGAATCATTTCTAAAATGAAGAAAAGTTTTTATCACCTAGGCCTATTAGGCATGGGCCTAGGGCCCACAATTTCTGAGGGGTCTCAAAAATTTGTAAAAAGGTTCTCGATATTACTATTTCTTTTAAATACTGAAACAGTTTTTCTCAAAAAACGCATTTTTTGTTATTTCAAATTTCCTTCATATCATAAGATAATCATTATTTCCAAAACTCTTATTTTAGCATTTTAGAGTTAATTTTGCTTGAATACACAACAATTTTAAAATATATTTTACTTCTACTCACTGGAACTAGTTTCTGGTGCAAACTATGGAAAGACTGCAGGCTCCTAGAAACGACCCATCCAGACATTTTGTTAGGAACAAACTCAGCGTCGCTTGCTAAGTGGACTCTTATCACAAAATAAGGAACAATTTTTTCATTCTCTTTTTTCTCCTGAAATACAATATTAAAAAATTTCTTTTTTACTCAAATACAATTGGAAATAATTTCTTTTTTCAGTTTGCAATAAAATTCAAATTGTTATCATAGTATCAAACTACAGTTAAACCTCAAAACATGAAAAATTATGAATTCCCCATGTACAGTAAAACCTCTCGGGAGCGACCACTCCCTGTTCCACAGTAAAATAGTCGTTAATGAAGGTTGGTCATTCTTTGGGGTTACCTATATTGACTTCAGAATGTTATTAAAAGTACATGATTTTTCGCAAATGATTTTAATTTTAGTCAGTGTAATTTTATTGTTGCGGAAATGCCACTTGTGTTGGCGTCATGAAAACCGGAATGAATAAAATTTAGCGTCAATAAAAAATTATCCTTATGGATATAATTATGTGTAAGAACAAATTTACCAATTGTCGGAATAACAAACTTTCATTAATATGCAGTAATATTGCTTTATATCGAGATTTCAATATACCTGGAAATTAGAAGATCTTATAATGATGATGTAGAGTATAGAAATAGAATATTTAAAATTACCATTGCTTCCATTATTGATGCTTGCCAGACACCTAAAAATTCGATCCAAAGCTCTGTTTTCTCAATGTGGTTCTCTAACATGTTTTGCTCCAGAACTAGATCAGCAATTTCTTTTTCCATCATCAATATGACCTAACAACAGAAGAAATGGCCTTAAATGCAATTCGAATAGCCTTCTTATTTTAATGAAGTTATGGGCAAGTAACATGCACGACTTAACAGGTCAAACTAATGGCTGCCACTGACCTAACCAACAATAACATATGTCTCTTAAAAAATTGCCGGAGAGTCACTACTTGTATTTTTCTTCAAAAATTTGCATTTTATAATTAGTTTCTTTCATAGATATGCAATTAGTATATTTTATTCATTCTGAAAATTGATTTAATTTTTGTGTCTAAAACAGCTAATGCATGTTGAAATGAACTTTAGATAACCATTTTGGAATGAATGCATGCTAACTATACATTGAGAAATGCTGCAAAAAAAATAGCTTACATCATTAATATTAGCAGTTTTTTTTTTTTTAAATCTAATAAAATTTTTCAAAATTTTTGAAAAAATGGCCACACCTTCTAAAACATGGCTACTGTTAAAATTGTCACAACTAACCATGGCCAATACCATATTTTCTTAATTTTGCCCTATAGCAATTCTACTTTAGACACTGGATAATTTGACCAGAAAATTTTTATATTCCTGATTAAATTTAAAATTAAAATCTAATGACTAATACAGTTTTCTCAAAAATATTACAATAAAATTCTATATTGTGTTTACTGCACACAGTAATTTTTCATCAGAGAAAAAAATATTTATTGGTGATCTAATTCTAGTTTTTGATAAGGAAACAAAATATATAACTGAACTTATAAATGATGAAACGATTTCACTGTAAGTAATGAAATCAATAAATAATAGTATGAGACATTGGAATAATTCAACTTCAATTTCAATGACTTTGCAAGATTTGCAGTAAGATTTTTAAAAATTTTGGGGAAAAAATCAGTTTCTTTTCACTTTTCCCTAACTTTTTATGCTTAAATTCCCCGTCAACCTCTGATGTTCTTTGACCCTTTGAAACCCTGTTTAACTGATTTTTTGTTAATGAAAATGATTCTACAAAATTTGAAAAAAAAATAGCATACAAAACTCATGCAAGAATATAAAACTTAAAAGAGATGCTTTTTTAATCAATTTCAGGTTTGTGTTTTGAATGCATGATTTCAGTTCATATTCTTTACATCAGTAATTTATCTCAAATATGGAGACCATGCTGAGATATGCATTTAAATATAGTGTCCAGTAAACTTAAGCAATTAAAATAATTAGATTTCGCAGTTAGACCGAAGATCCAAAAATCTTAATAGTTGCTCATTTTAAGTTTATTATGAAAAAGAAAGTATGTCATGGTAAGAGAAAATATTAAAATGACTTGTACTTGTAATATCAAAGCAGTTTTACAGCTGGAGTTAGAAATTAAAGATAGCGGCACTCTGTTTCTCCTTGATTGATAACAATATTATACAATACAACATTATTATATATACATTATGGGCTTTTTTTTAATTCATAAAGAAATTTGTTATATTGCGTTTTAGTTATATAATAAAAAGATAATGTACAGTGAGCAAAAAAAAATGAGCACATTGAATAACTTTTGATCTAATGATCAGATTTTCCCATTCTAGGACTGAATTTTAATATTTCAGAGGTCTGACCTTTAATATACTTATTAACTAGAGCAGATGATATTTTAAGTTTAATAAAAATCTAACACAAAAACATAATTTCTCAACATGTACATATCTTTCTTTTTTTAACAGATTTGGGTTTTATATGCTCAAAAATGGGAGTTACCAAAATTTGAAAAATACAGTTCCATCAGTTTAACCAAGAGAGTGGTCAAAGGTTTGAATCCTTTAATGTTAATTCCAATTTTTATGAATTTCACCCTGTTTAAATGTTTCCCAAATTTCAAATAAACAAATTTTTGAAAATTCAGTTTCTCGAGAAACATTTAGCTGATTTAGTTTATAGTTTGTCCTTTAAGATTACATTCTTTCAAATGATGTAAAAAGTTATATACCTTAAAATTCAAAATTTTTTTAACTATAATTAAATAAAATAATAAATAATTGCTAAAATTTATTTGTTGCATGGAACTAAATTTTGGTATACAAATTTTATAATTACGTGAGAAAATATTTCAATTTGCTTAAAAAGTTCTCAAGATATGACAAAAAGTAAAATTAACACTAAGGGAACCAAACTATTGACTGCTCTCCTGACTTAACTATTGGTACCCAATTCTCCATATTGCAGTTATCCCCCCTCCAAAAATTTTGAGATCATAAATTAAAATCCATAAAAAAATTAGTGTTTATTTAGAGGGAGTATCTTTTTGCATCTGATTTTGAAACAAAAAATGTCGTCTGAAGTAAGTAAGTACCATAGATAAGGTTAGGGCCTTGAACCATAAAGATTGAGCCTCAATACTTTAAAATCTGATCATAGAATTCGATGTTATTCCAGGTGTTCTTTTTTTGTGCACTGTACACCCACAAAAAGTTTGAAATAAATAAAATCACTTCAACATATGCATAGTACAATAATAATAAAAAAGCACCTTTTTTTCACATTTTGTATTATTGCGCAATGCATCTAAGGCTTGTTTTTTGTAGCCTATCTTCTCAGTTAAAACTTTGAGTTGAGAACGAGCATAACTAGAGTGATCAAAAACAGAGACATCTGACGTGTCAGGGGGCATTTTGTCGATTTCCGGATCTTCATCAGGAATTTGGAGCTCTGATACTTCTTCTAAACAAAGAAATAGGTTCCAATGGGCATTTTAGTGTGATGCAAAAGTAGTAAAAATATTAATTGTACCAAAAATATGCAGTAAACCTCAAAAACTTGGACTTCTAAAATCAGAAGACCTCTGAAATCGAGACAATTTTTGCATCTTACACTTAGAAAAAAAAATTGCGAAATAAAATTTAAATTAAAGAAAATTTGCATGCTGTAATGAAATGGCTGCTATGAAAAAAATTCATTTTAACCATAAAGAAGTAGATAGCAATAGCTGCTGAAAAAGTGATTGAAAAAAATAAGGATTTATAATAAAAATGCCACAAGAGCATGTGAAAATATCATTTACTTAAATGTGTGGTTCAAAATACTCATATTGTAAAAATATACTTTTAAACAAATAGTGAAATTATGGAAACTACATGGAAATGCATCGTGATAAACGTAAACATAAACATACAGCAAATTGATTTACAACTACATAATCACAAATCAAGAGTTTAAAAAAAATAACTCAATAGATGATTTGAAATTTGCATGTCGTAATATTACATCGAAATATCGAGGTTTTAAAAATCCCGCAGAATGACTGTCCGAAAAACAAAAAACAAAAAAAACCACACAAATTTATATATAATCGATATCTTCTAACTTAACTTATCTAGAACTTAATAATTTTGGTATTCTTGACTTTGGCATCTTTATGAGCTTATGAAATCCCCACTTTTAAAACCTTTCAGCAGTCCATATTTTTTAGGTTATAATTTTCACATGATTCACATTAATGACTATCAATTGCAATAAGCACATCACAAATAGAAATTTGATTTCAATCGTCATGATATAGGAGGTTAAAAAAAATAATTAAGCTAGGAAAATATAATGCTAACTGTGAATGCTTAAAATAATTAAGACTAAAAATATAGCTTCAAAAGAAAAACTGAAATAAATAAAGTGATTACTTTTATGCATCAATAATAATTACTCACCTGGTTGTTCTTGCATAAAATCAATTCCTTGCTTTTCAACTTCAGCAAGCATCTTATGATAAACATCACTAACAATGAACGAGGCATAGTAGTGCTCTTCTAAGAATCTATATATTTCTTCCTGAGCTTGAAAAAATGCCTCTGGACCCTTAAATAAAAACACAAAAATAACAGAACCTTAAAAAAATAAACAGCATGCAGAGGTGCCAACTTTCTAAACTAGCTATCAGTAATCAGAAGTACAATAACACGCATAAAGCTAACAAAGATTCAAATGAGTGTAATTTTAAAGTATTTTTACTTTATAGGTAAGCCTAATATTTATAACAATATGAATAAATTTTCTATTAATTAGAAAAAAGTAACACTTAACTGTTTTTTTCTTCTTTTTTTTACATTTTGAATTTTTACTGCAAACAACAAAATTTCATAATTATTGGTAACTAAGGGAAAAAAATTTATTTTAAACAGATTGTTATGAAAATTGTAATCAGCTATACTTTTTATTATTACTCAATCATAGCACTGTAGTCTTAACCATTAAATCGTAATAATTAAGAATAAATCGTAATAGTTGGCGCACCATTCAGGAAAAAAATCAGGACTCTGCATATAAAAGAAAGTAGAAGCTTATGTATTCTTCTGCATTGCTTCCAAAATCTCTTCCATCAGGATTTTTCTTCAAAGCCAGAAACAGATGGAAGTCATTGGGTGCAAGATCAGGACTACAAGGTGGATGGTTAAGGCACTCCCAATCAACAGTTGCAAAATAATTTTGTGATAATTTTCTAGAGATAAACATTGTCACCCAATAACAGAATGCTAGATGTGAGAATACCAGGTGCTTTTTCCAAATAGTCTGCAACAGGGTGAAACAGCACTGTGTAGCAATGATGGTTCCAGCCTCCAAAAAGTCAAGCAACAAAACTCCGGAACCAGACTGAAAAGTTTGTCTCTGCTTTGCGCGGGCACTGAGACATCCAATAGTACATGGATGTTTTTCAGGTTCAACCGCTGTCTCGTTTATCCTGTTGCTGTTCCTGAGGAAACTGAATGAGAAACTTATTTTCGGACTCCACCCTGTACATGCTATATAACTGCTTAGAATGTAAACAATCAAAATAAGTTTTATGTTTATATTTTAATTTATAGTTTTTTTTTAATTTCTGAATAAATTGAAAAAGCATAATTATTGTCATATCAGTTTCACTTCAGCTCAGTAAATGCTATCTACAGTCATAAAACAAGAAAGATTTCTAAAATAACAAATAAAAAAATTTATTTCCATAGAAATTGATGAGTGGATTTATACCATATCTCTTTCTATTTCATTTTGAATGGCGGCAAGATAATAAAAGGTATAGCAATCAAAATACTTGTTAGAACTCAAAGCGAAAATTAAAAATTATAGTTATACAAAACAAATTTTACAATGTTTTCATTCACTTTGAAGATCAGTTTAATACCTTTATCTTGAATGAAGATGCGCAGTATTCTTTGTGGTTCAGAGTTGGAGGTAATAAGAACTATATTTTTGATTTTGAAATTCAATTGCTAACCAAAAATAAAAATTGGAACTACAATGAGAAATAAATAAGTTAAAATTAATCAGTTGAAAGAGTTAAAAATAGACATATAACGGGAAATCAGAGAGATTTTAATTAAATTAAATATAAATGTAATAAATTAAAAATTGAAAACTAAAAATAGAACTGATAATTTAAAATCAAATTTATAAATTAAAAATAGAACATCTTTTCAGTAAAAAAATATTACATGAAAAAAATATGGCTGAATATTATTATAATATGACATAAAACCAATGTATAGAAAACCAATGTTAATATATGGCCAATATTCATCTAAAAATCATATTTGACTTACATAAATGAACACTATTGAAAGAACATTGATAAAAATTAATTCATAATTTAAAAATAAACACTTCAAATGCTTACTTTATTAGCCATCATAAATTCCTCGATTCCTTTGAGTGTACTTTTATTCAAACGTACACTGCTTGATTGATGGTGGACATAGATTTGTACTATTTCATTTCCTAATTTATGCCAAGAATCCTAAAAGCAATACAGCAAATACAAAAAATCATGCACAGCGAAACAAAAGTAACGATGAAACATAAACCATTGATATTTAGGATAAACAAATAGACATATATAATGCTTTTAACACCAGTAGATAACAAATAACAGATCAAATAATGATTGTTCAAAAAATTATATTAAAAAACATAAAAATTACACTACACAAAAAAGCAACAAATTAGAAACAATAGTTAATAAAACGTTATAAATTATATATTACCTTATCAGAATGCTTCATTTCATCAACAGCTTCCCAGAAACTAAATTATTAATCAGATATTTTAAATTATTAAAAGAAAATGCAAACATATAGGAAACATAAAAAAAATAACTATTAAATTTTTAGACTTTAGAATACAAATCATTGACTAAAGAAATGCTGTATAAATTGCAATACACATGAAGAGCATGGGCAACTTGTACTTTTTTACAATAGGTCCTTAAAATATAATACCAATTTTTGAGCTTAAACTACAAAACTTAGGTTTATGTTTAACTAAAAATGCCAAAATCATTCTACAAAAATGAATTAAAAAAGTATAAACATAAGAGATTGATAATAAATATTTAAGCTAGGCAAACGCATAAACCAAACTGAAATCTAATGAATCAACACAACATTCATTTTGGTACAGAAAACATTAAAGATTATTTAATTACCAGATGAAACAGAAAAGTTAAAAGGAAATTATCAGAAGTTTTGTCAGATTATCAAACTATTTTTGATGTTTTTCATATCTGCTTCCTCATTTGTGATCTGAGAGATTTAGATAACAATTTTTTTTCTTTTTTGCGCAAATACTGATTTACAACTCCTAATGAATGTATATTTTATTCTAAATTTTTGTCAAGAAATTTAAAAATATATATTAAGGGTGGAGATTGAAAATATTTATTTATTTTTGGCCTTTCAAATAGTTAGCTTTTTTACAAAGGCATCTAATTGAAAAGTTAGCCCTAGGCGTCTACTGATCTCTGCAAGCCACAGAAAATATGCAGAAACATATTACACAATAAAGTTCTAAAATCAGGGCACTTGGACATCCAATATAAAAAATATCCCATTTTTAGGACATTAACCGAGCTCGGAGTACTTTGAAATACAATGCAGTTATGCAAACAATGCAGTTATTGCAGATAAATTGTGGGGCAATTAATACCTCTTCTTCTTAAGTTAGACTCAAAGAAAAAAAAAATTTTTTGGAAGAGTAAAAGCAGCTTACTATATATGTATATTTTTTACATAACACCATCTTGGAAGCAAAACATGTCATGTGATGTTATAGCGAACTTCAGAAAATCAGCTGCAGAATGTATAGAAATGTCAGGATATAAAAATAGCTCTTACTTTTACAAATTATTTTACAGTAAAAATTTTATAAAATGAACTGATGACCTATACTACCAGGCAAGCATTAAATGTTCAGAAAAATGTTTTTTAGCTTGTTATTCAAGTAAGCTTCTTCATTACCAATAGAGATAAACAATGGAAACATATAAACAAAAAAGAGTAAATACCCCAACAATGAATGAGATTCCTCTTTCTGAAGAAATCTAGAGAAATGTCTCCGACAGAAACTTGACTGCATAATCACTGACATGGACAACACTTTTTGACCAGGCATGTAAACACTTTTATTAGAACTTCCATTCCCAGATTTATTAATTGAAATATATTCAGCACCACCTATGCCTTTCAGTCTTTTTTCACACTGAGCTTTGGCAAACTGCAACTATATTTATAAAAAATAATAAAAGTAATTATAATAATATAAAATAAAAGTTTTAAAAGCTGCATTTTTCAATTGAACTAAAAATAGAAAATAGTTTCATTTTTGTTAAATCTTAAACAAAAAGGCTAGGCTAAACTTTGTAGTGGATTAAAAAAAATTTCGGACAGCGTTTTATAAAAAAATATATATATAAAAATTCAAGACACATTTCGGTACAGTATACATATATTAGACCACTTTTATAAAAGGTGAACTACTAAATAAAAATTGCATAATTTTCTCTAAAAAATTACCGTAAAAGTATAACTACATTTACTACATTTAATTTCAGCGTTACTTTGTTGTTTAGAGCAAAAAGCTTCAACAGATTTAAATATAATTTTATAATTGGGGCAGTAAATAACATATAACAGTTTGAGATCAATTTATAGAAAACTTTTATAAAGCTGCTATGCTATTAAAATAACTAGTATAAAATAAACAATGTTTCTACGTATCAATATTTAATTAAAATTTGTAAAAGAGTTCAAGACTTCCAAACGCTGAATACTTTGTACCACTGCATACTACAGTAGAGAACCGATCATCCGGAACGATCGGGACTATCGCTATTCCGGATAACTCATTTTTCCGGTTTTCTGAATCGCTACAAAAAGCCGTTTTTTGAGTGTTAAACCAAACTAAAAAAAAAAAATATTTGGAAATAATCTTAAAAATAAGAAAAAACGATGAGGTAATACACTAATGATTATTTCTGAAATGATGGTAAGGTAAACATCTTTCAAAAAAGAAAGAAAAATCCTAAAATCTTATGAGGAAAAAAAAATTTTTTTTTTTAAATTGCGGGAAAATGTATCGAATTTCGTTCCGGTTTTTTGGTTTTCCGGTTTTCTGATTTCCGGATAACGGGTTCTGTACTGTACTAAGGCTACTATGAGGATGATAACCAAATTTAGACATAACAACTCAATTTTGATAAAACTCTTGGTTACCTTGTTTTTCCACTAACTTTGAAATAAGCAAAGCAATGACAGCAAAATTAAAAGAATAGAATAAAAATTTAATTTTTTTCAGCTGGAGTGGAGAAAAAAAAACTTTTCTTCAAAATTATGTTGATGGCAATTAAGCAGCTTTTTGCATAAAAGACAATTTAATTAACATCAAAAGATTAAACACATAAAATCTGAGCAGAGTGATAATGTGTACAAGAATAATTAAATCCTACTAAAACATACAATTCAATAAATAAATACTTGATTTAGATAACGAGATAAATCCCTCGCTTGCAGAAGGTCTCCCTTATTCGTTTTCTGCGGTTTGAATTCCTTGTCTGAAAAACAAAATTATTGACTTATGAAATAAAAGTCTTATTTTCAGTTAGGTTGCAGAAAGTAATAATAAAAAATAATTATATTTTTATCCATTATTACCTGCATCAATGCCTTTTGATCTTTTTAGATTACTCATAGTTGTGGCTTGCATTATTTCCGTAGCAATGTAATATCTAAAATTAGTCAAATTACAAGTTAGGAATTAAGGTTCAATAACAGGCTCATGTTCAAAACGTTAGAACTACATCATACCTGCCAACTCTTCCGGATTTTCCGGAAGATTTTGTTTTCATATTTAAAGTGGTAGTAAATATATACTATTTTTTCTTTTAAAAACTTAATTTTTAAATGATTTTGATCACCACTATTCTTACAAAAATTAAGCACATATATTAATATGCGTTACTATCATGGTTGTCAACTTAAGTTTGCTCATATACAACGTATTTGTTTGCTTAAAATTGAAGTTTTAATTCCATTTTAATACCACTGGGAAAAATAATAATGGAAGGGATTAAAAGTTGGCAGGTATGCTAAATTCATTCTAGTCGGGGGGAAATAAATGTACAGACTTAAAAAAAGGACAACTTAATAATTTTTAGTCCTGGGATAGATCATTTGTATATTTTCTTTAAATCTTGAAAAATCATTACCCCTTTCACAAAGTTTTAATTTTTGAAACATTGGTTAAATTGTAAATGTATTTTATTTCACAATAAATTTTGCAATTTTTGAAAATTTAGAAGGTTTTAAACTTTAAATTTTAGTAAAAATAACAGCTTTAAAAAGTTAAAACATAAATTATTTATTCTTCATGTATATCTTAAAAAAGAGGATCTATGCTGTTTTCAATTGGGACCCACTTTCAGTAAATAAAGACCCAGAAGTTTGAAAGTCTTCAGAATCGGTAGTTTCCAAAATCTAGCAGATTTTATTTGAAGTTAAGAAATCGGGTACAAAAACAAACTTTCCTGTATGAATATACTTTCTCTTCAATCGATTTAAATTTTTACTATCAAAATATGGGAGGTTAGCTACCATTCAGAAAATATTGTTCTTATCGGTTAGTAAGACGAGAAGTTGAAAGTTTGGACCATTTAATTTTAAGTTTATTTTTATGTTTCTTGGCATAAAAAGAAATCAGATGAATAGTGTTTGAGAAATTAAAATAATTTTAAAATACAACTTTTTTGATATTTTATCACTCAGAAACTATTGAAACTTAATATTTGGTCCTTTAAAATTACAGTTTAAAATGAGATATTTATGAACCTTACAATTAAATTGTATCATTGATTTAGTGATGTAATACCTCATTCTTCGTAAGTCTTCAATATCGAATGATTCTTGAATCATCTTGATAAAGTCTTCATACGTTTCTGCATAGGCATAAAGTTTCCGATGCTTCTCTGCTTGCAACTGCTGCTGCTTCAAGTATGAAATCAGCTTCATATTTATAAAGTCGGGATCACATAATTTGTCAATGATTGGATAAAACACTGAAGAAGAAAAACATAATAATTATCAGTGAAATTAATGATAAAAAAACATGTACTAATAATTTTGTGTAAAAAAAAATTTAATTTACTTAGAATTTATGAAAAGACTAGAGAATTATAACTGATTTGAAGACTAGATTATAAAGACTTGATTATAAAGACTAGAGAATGATAACTGAGAGACTAGAGAATTATAACTGATCAGGATTGGAGAAAAGTTTATTGAAATATAAAAAAAGGCAACATGAATGCAATTTGGGACTTCATCAGGGGACATTGTGCATGCATTCATGAGGGAGCTTTTATGTGAATAACTGATTAATTTTGTTTAGAATTACAATTATTCACAGAAAAGATCCCACATGAATACATGCACAATGTCCCCTGATGAAGTCCCGAATTGCATTCATGTTGCCTTTTTTCTTCTTCAATTTAGTTATATTTCTTACATTATAGGCTATAATTCTTAATCTAACATTATAATCTCATATTAGTTATAATTCTTCATATTAATTATATTGAAGATAAATTTTGGGCTTTAGCGCTTTCTCACATTTAAATTTTGTTTTGTTTTTTTCCTGTGATTACTTATAACTAATATTTTTTCTGTTTTTATCAATGAATGGGATTAGATAAAACTTTGATATAGTCATTACAAATATTGCAGAACTTCACCAAACTTTAAGTTACTCTGTTTATCCTTCAACTCCATTTCAATTTTCATTCTAAGAAATATTGTTTTTATTAATCATCAACAATTTTAGTCTCAATAACTAATCTGAATAATTGGAATTCTTCTTTATAATCCTTAACACATAAAATAATTAATAAAATGGCAAAATTTAATTATCAGTGCCTGTGCCAAAACATCTGACAAGTTTAACTTTAGCCAGGAAGTAACACCCAAAAAACTTTTTAAAAAATCGCAGAAAAAAGTAAATATGAACGATAAAATTTGCAACCACCTCTGGACCAATCAGTGAGTAATAATATTTAATAAATATGTGTGCGTGTGTGTATATCAAGGGAGAGGGGAACTAGTGTGCACAAGAAGCTGGACGCATCTTGAATTACTTTTTTATTTATAGGTCAGATTTCCTCTGTGATATATTGTAGATCGACAACACTGATGTACACTTCCTTATGCTGATGCATAACTACACAGTGAGTACTTGCAAAGAAATTTGTAAAAGAATATTTTTTAAATGAAAAAGTAACTTACAATTTTTCTCTTTACTTTTTTATTACATACTTTATCTTAAGAATTTCAACTAAAGGTGAGAATATGCTATAATTTACACTGCTTTTTTTACCGATAATTTTGTTATAAATTTTTACTCCGTATAGTTTCAATTAACCAGTATAAGACATAAACAAACACGTGTCTTTGTGAGGTTAGTGTAGACACATGGTGGTGGGGCTAGATTGGACATGTTCACACCCAATCAACTTCTAATGAAAGCAATATGAATTGGTTACAAATGTAACACATTTGATGTAATTTATTTTCTAAATTAGAATAAATTTGTGTAGCATGGTATACTTTTACTGATCATGAAATTAATCTCACACAAAAATATAAGACAAAACCTTTCCTTAATGATCCACTTTTTAAAGGTTTAAAAAAATTAAGCAAGAAGTTTTATTAAGTTAATTATAATACAATTTAATATAGATGAATTAAAGAAAAACACAAAATTTTTATTAGGTATGCTTTTGTCATACATTAATCTAAAACAGAACATCACAGCAAAGTCACGTCTTTTCTTTTTCGAGTTGTTTTCATTGCTACAGTGAGGGAAATATTACTAAACCAAGCACTCTATGTGCAGTCGATTCTATTCGATATTTCATCGTCAAGTTAAAGTTGGTTATTAAAATTGATTAAATTTAAAATAGTTTTTGTGCTTGTCAAATATAATAATAAGCTATTTAAAACGCATATAAACTGGTGCAACTTAAACGTGTCCATCGCTGGTGTCATCTTAATTTGACAAAGGTATAGATAAGTTGGTTTCTTGTTATGTCAAATATCTGAACACTAGGTCCTGGGTTCTATCCTTGGGCCCGGTAAGGTTGACTCAGCCTTTCATCCTTTTAGTGGATCGATAAAATGAGCACCGAGCATGCTTAGAGACTAAACACTGGGGGCTCCATGCTCAGCTGACCACCCAACCGGAACAACTGCTCCTGCACTGGGGTGCAGGAGCAGTTGTTCCCAAGTTCAAGAAAACTGAGATGGGCAGAGTAGGCTTTGGCTCTCTTTGGGCTGTCGTGCTACTAAGTTTAATTTAGTTTAGTGGAACTATATGGAAAAATAGTTTCATAAATGCTCTTTCATGTAAAAATAAACTTTGTTTTTTAAAAAATAAAATGTTTTAAGCAAGTTTTTATAAAATGGTACTCATTTTACAGATATGTAACGTGTTACGTAATATGTGTAGTTAATGTTGGTAAGTGTGTTATAAGTAACGTGTCACTCTATAACTATCACATAACTCACCTGAAACTGTGAATATTTCTCTGAGTAGAGATTTTAAAGTAAGATGGTCAACATAATCAGGAGGTAATAGAGTAGCCAACAGAAATTCACAGAGACATCTTAAATGATCCAATTCAGCCTCTTTGGATGATAAAAACTTAAAAACCATGTATGGCTGGATTTTTTCAGCTGGACTGAAATCAAATCAGTAACACATTAAGAACTAGATGTTTTGCCTGAAATTGCAATTTTATTTTTCAAAGAAATCAAAAAAGTTATAATGTGCTGATTTTCTTATATACAAGAAATCAACTAAAAAATAAAAAAAAAATTATTTTTTTTAAAAAATTGTTTTATTTGGATAAGAAATAACCACAGTGAATTTTTTTAAAACAATATCTTTGCAAACAAAACAAAAGTTTTTAAATTTTTATTTGCATAAAAAATTGGGACAGTTCCCATTTTAAAAAACACATATAAATTTTTATCACGAAAAACAACTTTATCAATTCTATTAAACTATTTTAGTTGTGTTTAGGGAAATTTTTTTATGAGATAAAAAACAATAAATACTGAAAAAAAATGATTTTCTTTAGTGTAACATTACTAAATGGACTATCATGTAGATTTACACTAAAATATATATTTACCTGGCATAATATAGTTAAAGATTAAAACATCCTTAATAGACAATCAATGATTTAATTTGAAGGAAAGAACTTAAAAATTTAATTTTATCAAAACAAATACAATGGTTTGTTTACTATCAGGCTGAGCCGCTCATTTACTCACTTATGATGGTTAGGTTTTAACTTCATTTTTTAAAAAATTTTAATTAAAGATTTTATTTACATCCTACACAACAATTAAAAGTAAAAATTTATGAAGATTCTTTGCGGTAAAAAAATATTTAAAAAAAAAACACATGATGAATCTAATGAGCTTAACTCAATTGAAATATCTGTTGCATCTGGTGAACTTAAATCAACAGAAATATCTGTAACATCTCATGAGCCTAACTCAATAGAAACATCAGTTACATCTGGATAGCTAAAATGAATTGATACCCCAATAAAAAACCGAGTATTTGAAACATGCAGATGGTGTTACAGTCATATTGATTGACTAAAAAAGTTTAAAATCATGAAAAATAATATATTACTCACTTGACCACAGAAAATCTGATACGTTGCATGTGGTCGGTTAGGATGTTAACAATATCACTGGTAATCAATTCAATTTCAGAAATTTTTTGACAACGATCTCTAAATGTAAATAACATTTGTCTGATAGGATCTCTGAAAATAAAGAACAAAATTTTTCTTAATTTCTTGTAGTACAACTTGAAATAATAGGAATATAAAAGCAATTTTAAAATTGCAGTTTGAATTTTTTAAATGAAATTTGTTTTTTACGAAAAAAATAATTCTGAAAAGTAATTAACCATTTACCATGAAATTTAAATCTACATGTCATTGCAACATATATTTTTCTTTAGAACTTTCTTAACACTAGGACCTACAGAGAGGATTTTTGGTAAATATATTTGGTCATTAGCATAATTATCAGTGAACTCTGAAACGTTCTGGAACAAATAAATCTAATCTTGCAAAAGTTGCGAGCCACCTGGCAAAGAAAGAAAAAGAGGGAGGCCAAGACTTGCATGTCAAAGATACTTAAAGAAAGACCTTGGCAAAAAAGTAACAATTAATATTCAGATGACAAAATTAATATTCTGAGTCAACTTACAGAATTAATGACAAAATAAAAATTAGGGATGTACTGAACCCCAAAAATTTAAGTCTGGTAACCCGGCAAGAACTGAATCCTATACCCACCTGGTTTTGAGTAACAGGCAAAAAAAAATTCCACTAATCCAGTTCTGTGTATCCAGCAAAAATTGCATTTATTAGACAATCAGTTCCAGGTATTAAACTAAATTTTTATCAGGATATAACATTAATTTAATTAATTTAAATTTACATAAAACAGTGCTACCTGACATAGGATATCAGGTGAAATCAGTCTGCTGGTACTGAATAAAGAAAACTAGAATCAAGATTTGAATATACGGCACTTAAATTTGTTAGCTGGACCAGGGTAATAAATCTCTGGTTTAGCTTGCCGTGTACTGGGTAATTGCCGGGTACCTGGTACATCCCTACTAAAAATTACTGATAATGAATAATCAATATTTACTTTAATTGTTTGCAAAATAAACTAGGGTGTTTCACAACATATGAGTACCAGCTTGAAATATAGTCACGAAATAACAGTGATATCAGTTCCTCGATGACGTCATCGACATTTCGAGAGACTAATGGAGTAGTTTTGATTTTTCCTGGTGGAAATTTCAAATCTGCAAGTCGCTCCTAATAAAAAAAAACATTCATATAAATTAAAAATGTTTCTAAATATTACATAAATTCAATAGAAAAAATTGCTACAAGCTATAACATTAAACAATATATAAATTAAATAACACAGTTTTGAGAAAGAATAATTAAAGAGCCCGTCCCTTTCAAGACTAATAGGGGCATTCTCAGAAAAAATTCAATAAAATTCCTCCATACCCCTAAACCAATATATATACAATGTTTGCTTAGTTGTTCATCTGTGACAGAATTTTTCTGCAACAATGAAAAAGATAAAAAAATAATTGCCTGTAAACAAATTTGCCATGTTAAAACAATTAAAAAACTAATATTCAGTTACTTTTAAATCAGTTAAAACCCTTACATTTCAGAATGCTTGAAGTTTAATAAAAACAATATTGTTACCTTATTAAAATTTCATGTTTAAAATATTGTAAAATAATAAATTAAACATTTTTATTAAAATTTCTTAAATATAAACTAATCTGTACATTATCTCAATTGTCACACAACGCCCTACTTTCTTCGCCAACACTGTGAATGTAGAGGTAGAGCATGAAACAGAAGGGACTTGGAAGTTTGGGTCAAAGAGAGATGGGAAGTATAACAATGGGTTTACTCTATTTCTATTCTAGCTCTATGATTAGAAGTTAATTACATAATAAACTGTGATTGAAAGAAAGAGAAATTATGAACTTTGCATTATTATTTAATTAATCTCATTATGAACTCAACAACTTCTTTTCAAAAATGATCTTACTATGCATTACTCTTTAACTAAAATAATAGATTATAAGTACATTTAATTCATTTTTTAATTGCATTTTTTGAAAAGGAAATGACTAAGAAAAATTACACCATCAAAAATAAAAAATTAAAGAATTCAGTTCCCATCAAACTACATCCCTGGTAATAAATTTGCTTAGTGTGACGGGTATTGTTTTAAAGAATCCAAATTAAAAGTTATAATTATATTTATTTTTTTCTTAATCCTATTATATAAGGAGAAGGAGGACCACACTTACCCATAGTTGCTCGTATTATGAGTCTCTCGCTTCGCAAGGAGTCTGTATTCTGCCTATTTCCTCTTTTTATGGAGTTTATTTATACATTTTATTTCAAAGGGTCAAACGTGATCTCGTGGTCTTATCATGCATCCGAAGGTCGACAAATCAAACATAATCTTCTGACAAATTTCTAGAAAGTTAAAAGTTCAACTGACCATTGTAATGCAATTGCGAGATGAGACCATGGGATCTTAATCAACTGTCTAATTAACAAAAGATTAACAAGTTTGACCACGAGAATTATCATGAGGCAACGTTGTGACATTAGTCAACTTGTTATTTTGTACTTGCTTAGGCTGTGAATTAAAAACGAAATAAGTTTGGCTAAAATATACCCCCGTAAAAAAGGTTTTCATAATATATCTCCTAATAAATAACATTATAAAAAATAAATTTATATTTAATTTGTCAGTAACAAATATTTAATGAATGGCTCTAAATTATAGTCTTCAATGTCAAAGAAATCAAACTTTAAAAANGGATATCAGGTGAAATCAGTCTGCTGGTACTGAATAAAGAAAACTAGAATCAAGATTTGAATATACGGCACTTAAATTTGTTAGCTGGACCAGGGTAATAAATCTCTGGTTTAGCTTGCCGTGTACTGGGTAATTGCCGGGTACCTGGTACATCCCTACTAAAAATTACTGATAATGAATCATCAATATTTACTTTAATTGTTTGCAAAATAAACTAGGGTGTTTCACAACATATGAGTACCAGCTTGAAATATAGTCACGAAATAACAGTGATATCAGTTCCTCGATGACGTCATCGACATTTCGAGAGACTAATGGAGTAGTTTTAATTTTTCCAGGTGGAAATTTCAAATCTGCAAGTCGCTCCTAATAAAAAAAAAACATTCATATAAATTAAAAATATTTCTAAATATTATATAAATTCAATAGAAAAAATTGCTACAAACTATAACATGAAACAATATATAAATTAAATAACACAGTTTTGTGAAAGAAAAATTATAGTTAAGAGCCCTTTCAAGGCTAATAGGGGCATTCTCAGAAAAAATTCAATAAAATTCCCCCATACCCTTAAACCAAAATATATATACCATGTTTGCTTAGTTGTTCGTCTGTGACGGAACTTTTCTGTAACAATAATTAAAGATAAAAAAATAATTGCCAGTAAACAAATTTGCCAAGTTAAAACAATTAAAAAACTAATATTTAGCTACTTTTAACTCAGTTAAAACCCTTACATTTTAGAATGCCTGAAATTTAATAAAAGCAATATTGTTACCTTATTAAAATTTCATGTTTAAAATAATGTAAAATAATAAATTAAACATTTTTACTTAAATTTCTTAAATATAAACTGATCTGTATATTTTTGATGCATCATTATTTACATTAATTTGTAAATTATTAAAAAATAAACACTAATATGGTCAATTTAAAATTTTGTTTATGGTGAATGAAGAACAGAGCTGGAAAGTGGGAACAATTTTTATTAATTATGTTTAAAAAGAATGCAAAAATTGTCTTTCATTCATTGCCTTTATAAGTACAAAATGCAAATGTATTAGAAAAGAAAATTGATCTCAATTGCCACACAATGCCCTACTTTCTCCGCCAACATTGCGGATGAAGAGGTAGAGCATGCAACAGAAGAGACTTGGAAGTTTGGGTCAAAGAGAGATGGGTAATATAACATTGGGTTTGCACTATTTCCATTCTAGCTCTATGATTGGAAGTTAATTACATCATAAACTACGATTGAAATAAAGAAAAAATATGAACTTAGCATTATTATTTAATTAATCTCATTATGAACTCAACAATTTCTTTTCAAAAATGATCTTACTATGCATTACCCTTTAACTAAACTAATAGATTATAAGTGCATTTAATCCTTTTTTTAATTGCATTTTTTGAAAAGGAAATGACTAAGAAAAATTACCCTATCAAAAATAAAAAATTAAAGAATTCAGTTCCCATCAAACTAAATCCCTGGTAATAAATTTGCTTAGTCAACTTGTTATTTTGTACTTGTTAGGCTGTGAATTAAAAATGCAATAAGTTTGGCTAAAATATACCCCCATAAAAAAAGTTTTTATAATATATCTCCTAATAAATTAGATAATAAAAAATAAATTTTACATTTAATTTGTCAGAAACAAATATTTGATGAATGGCTCTAAATTATAGTCTTGAATGTCAAAGATATCAAACTTTAGAAAACATTTTTAATTTAAATCAGTGACATTAAAAAAAGAAACAGTTGATTTCAATGAATGACTTTTTAAAAAAAAAATCAAGTGATTTAAATTTTGCCAACCACTGATATTATGAGGAAAAAATTCTACAGCTTACCTATCTTGAAACAGTACTAAGAAACTGCTCAATGTAAAAATTTCATCTTTGGAAGAAAAATACTACATTTCACTTTTCATATAAATATAATATACTTCATAATATTTATTAGTTATCAATTGAATAAGGTTACATTTTTTTCAACAAATAATGATTAAAAATTAAAACTTGATGTTAATCTTTGACAGTTCATTACCAAAATAATAAAAAGAATACTATGTCAAAAGGTATTCTACTTTAAAAACCACCAAAGCTACAGACAGAAATAGAATATATTATTTTAATTTATCTATTTATTTATCTATTTTTTTATATATATTTCATGCATTTTTCGTACTATCTACTTTTACAGGAAACAGAAGTTACTGACACATATAGAGTATTTTAATATCTAAATTCTTCTGCCTGAACTGTGATATTTAAGAATGAGCAGTCCTTATCTTTTTACAAGGTAGTTTCTCAAATAGTGAAAAGAAATTAAAAAGAGTTGTATTGCAGACACCTTTTCAACACAGTTATTTACCCACCTTAGTTTTCGAAACAATAAGATCATTTGGCTGCCTCTTTATTCTCTTTGGTACATAAGGATCCAAATCTAATCCAGTCAGTATCCCAATTAAAGCAGCACCCAGAAAAATAAGAAACTTGATAGAGAGACATAAAGAACTGTAAATGAAGGCTATAGTTGGAATTAAATAACCCAATATGTGTGTGATCAAAGATACAGCAGCAAATGCAGATACAATCTGAAATTTTAAAATAATATTTACAATTACTAATAAAATGAAATAAAAAGATTATTTAAAAGATTGTAGTTAGACTACAAATTTAATTTTAATTGTCAAATTATGTAAAGGGGAAAAAATTATCATCTAATAAACTAACCAAAATGGTCTTTAAATAATATATAAATATATTTTATTTAAGCAAAAATTTGAAACATAAAAATGAAAATTTTAAAACAACCATTTGCAATTGAATAAAAGATTATACAGTAGGGAACCGATTATCCGGAATGATCAGGACCAACGCTATTCTGGATAACTGATTTTTCCGGTTTTTTTGAATCGCTACAAAAAGCCGTTTTTTTTAGTGTTAAACCCAACTAAAAAAAAATAAAAAATATTTGGAAATAATCTTAAAAAGAAGAAAAAACGAAGTAATATAGTAATGATTATTTCTAAAATGATGGTATGGTAAACATCTTTCAAAAAAGAAAGAAAAATCCTAAAATCTTATAAGGAAAAAAACATTTTTTTTAAAAAATGGCAGGGAAAATGTATCGAATTTCGTCCCGATTTTTTGGTTTTCCGGTTTTCTGATTTCCAGATAACCGTTTTTCTGATTTCCATTCTGTACTGTATTAAGGGATGAAATACATTTCAAGATTCTAAAATTACCATGTTACATTACAAGTAAGTAACTCCAAACATTACAAGTAAAGGTTTGTATAATATATATATCCTTTTTTAATAAATGCAATGCATTTATTTTAACCAAGTCAAAAAAGCTATTTTATATCAACGCTTTAACTGTTAAAGAGCTGAGCAAAAATCTCAATGCAACAAAAATCAGAGTTGACAATTAAAAGACTAATGCATAAAAAATAACAAAAATAAAAAAAATTTAAAAACTGCAATTTTCAAGTAGATTAAAAAAGTAAAAATAGTTTTATTAGACTTAAAATTAAATTATGCAAAGTGCATCACTTTCAAAGGTGTACAGAAAATTTTTAGCGATGATGGAAGTTTACTAAATAAGCAATTACATTTAATGATAAGTTTAAGATTGGTACATTGAATATATAAGCAAATTTTTTCTTATTGGTACCTACTTAAAATTAATCGCGAAACCTCTGCAATTTCCAGGCAGTGGCCATGCAACAAAACTTCTTAAAAGAAAGTGGAGGACAACTAAAATGTTTTAAGTCGTAACCACTTCCAGACAAGTCTATATTTCGCTAAAATATTTTGAAAGTTTATAATTAATTAACTTTTTGCGATTGCAGTTGACACAAACAGGTACCTATACAGATATATCCCATAAATAAACGTATGCAACAAATTTGGAGCATGTTTTCATGAGATAATCACAATGATTATGGCTACAATATTATTTTTTCAAGATTATGAGATGTGATACATTTTTCAAAAAATACCTTACTTATAATGCAAGTAGAAAATTTCTAGTGTTTTAAATACAAAAACAAAAATGATATCAATCCTTTCTGGTTGGTTATCTTTGATATTTCCAGAATAACTCATTTTTGCTTTATCAAAACAAATAGTAAACGTAAGTGCAATTCAATATTGCTATGATTTGTTGTTTTGCTCGATTCTGGTGAGAAATCGTTTGAAATATGAAGTGATTGAGGTCTTATATTATTGTCAAACTTCACTTTGTATTATTTAACAAAATATTCAAGAAAAAAACATTATAAATAAATAAAAAGTTATCCATACAGATTCATGCCAGGAAAACTGATGAGAGGATAAACATATAAAAAAGGTTAATAAATTTTCAATTATAGAAATAATTTCTAAAGAAATATAAGCCTCAATATATTCTTATCGAACTAAGCTTACATCTTAAACAAGAGCATTTAACATATGTTTTGTTATTGTTTGAAGATTGAAAATATAAAATAGTTTTAAAAGTCTAACCATGTAAAAACATTCCATGATGAATTTCATTTTAAAGGCATAATTATTACATTCTTTCTCAGAAAATACTTGAAAACTTTTTGAAAAAAAGTAGCAGTGTTCGTAATTTCTGTATCATATGAACGATAACATAATTTCAGATAATAAAAAAAATTACAGAAAATGATAGGTGAATAATAGTCGTCTTATTTTAAAACAATTTGATATGTTTATTTCATAATTTGAAACTATAAAGCAAATAGTTTCAAAACAAAGGTTGAAAACCAAAAACTTGCAGGAACTCAAAACCAATACAGGGTAAACAGCAAGTTTTTTTACGGTTGATTAATTGATTGTTTGCGTTTTTGGTTGTCTATTTCTGCGTTTTGTATTTCTCAGCTAAAATAGCTCATAACTAGAGAATTTGTAAAAAAATCGCATCTGAGCATTCGAAACTCGGCTTGTGTACTCGTTTCGCATTTGTTATACAATGCTGTTCATTTTCTGAAAGTTTGTGTGAATGCAATAAGTGTTTTAAAGGCTTCGTTGTTGTAGTTAATTAACGTCGCACTAGAGCTGCACAATGGGCTATTGGCGACGGACTGGGAAACCTCCCTGAGGATGATCCGAAGACACGGCATCGCAATTTTGATCCTGTGCAGAGGGAATGGCCCATCCTCTTCGGTAGTCCAACGATAAAGTCGAGCACTTTACTGTAGAACAGTTTTAGCGAGGACCAATACTGCACACCCTCGGTCCCTACGCAAACTGATCCAAGTGGTCACCCACCCGCACGCTGGCCGCAGCCAGTGATGCTTGACTTTAGTGATCTGCTGGCGTTCTGCAAATATTTGCTTTGATTGATTGTGTTAAGTTCGGTCTTCATTTGGTATCCCTATGCCCTTCTTCAGCTTCTGTAACCATTTCTTGAACTGACTTCACAAGTTTCAACATTTTTCAAATGATGCATAAACATCATACCTGTTGTTAGAGGTGTTTTACCGAAACTGTAACAAATCAACATTTTCTTTAGCATCAGTTGCAATTGTTTTTCCTCGCAAAATAAATTAACTTTTTTTTTCATTCATGGTAGAATTTGTGAACGATAGATGTGGGAATCTGCTAGTTTCAAAATTGATCTAAACGGGAATTATTATCATTATCTGAATTTGTGACGGGACCTTTAAAACAATGCGATACATACGGGAAAACGAAAGATACGGGTCTCCCAAACAATTAACTTCGAGGATATCTTTAACGACTGACAGAAGCGAAACATTTATCTGCTTCGGAATTGTTTCATTATTCAGTTTCCCTTTAAATCTTAAAAACTAAATAATCGCATGAAAAATGAAAAGGAAATAATAAATTTTTATTGATTTTTTTTACAAAATCAATATGCCCTATTTATTTTTAAATGATTGGCTTATTTTTTACTGCGTTAAAGCATGTGAATGGCAAATAAATGAGCTCCTCATGCATTTTTTAAAACTGTAGTATAAACATTTTTTAAATGGTGATAAACAACTTTTTATTTAAGTTGTAAACTTTCTATCCCTTTTGGCCTTTTCCGTAAATATTCGCGAAACATTTCAGATTGGACTTCATCCGAAACTTTTATAATGATTTCCAGCGTGGAACACAGAACCAGAACTTCCAGCCACAGAAACTTGCCTGATTAATTTTTTATAAATTTTGTTTTCTTTTTAATAGTTATATTATTTACAACAGTTTCAGTATAAAACTAATAAGATAGTAAATAGTTGCCTACGTAAGATATATGGTTGTTTGTAAATTTCCTTTACGCATATACGTGTGTAATTTTTTTTTTTTTTTTTTTTTTTTTACAAACAACTCAAATCATTAATTTTTTCAATTATTATTTTTTTCTTATTCACTAACTTTATTTTATTATGGTTTAAATTAGCATTTCGTTTGAAATTTTAAGAGTTTGTTATGTACGCTATTCAGGGTTTTACGCAACAATCGCCCTTAATATATTTATGTGCTGCGTGTCGAAAATGAAGTAAAATATATATAAGGGATCACAAAATCATATTAAATCGGGAGAAGAAAGAAAAAAAAAAAGACGTTGTCAAAACTGCCTAATCGTTAATTAGGAAGGTGGATTGAAAAACAACAAAATTTGTTGAAAACTATTGTCTTATGAAACTTGGAAGAGTAATAATCAAGTTTCAAAAAATTTCTGTTTTCTTTGAATTATCTTTGAATTGTTCCATGAGAATTATCTTTGAATTAATTTTCTTTGAATTGTTGCTATGAGTCCCGCGTTCCTCAATAGTGATGATTGGGATTCAAAAAGTAATCAGCGATAAAAGAAACTTCTTTTTTTTTATACTAGAAACTTTTGTAATTAAAATTTCGTTGAGAAAATAGTAATTTAAATTGTCTGAATTCCGTGAAATTTCTTTTAAAGAAAAAAAGAGCTAAATCACAAGTAAAAATAGAAAAACGTTGACACAGTAACGTATAACATCATTCTTGAACATCAACCTATTTCTGGTCAAAATGAATTGATTAGAGTGTGGTTTTTTGATTCTAAAGGCGTTCAAGGGAAAACGTAATTTAATCATTGATTCATAAAATTAAAATACTCCTGGCCATAATTTATTTTAAATGTAAGTTAGAGTCATTAATGTTTCCCATCTTTACTTTGAAAGTGAAGAATTCTAAAACAATACCTATATTAATAATACAATACCTACATTAAACTAAACAAATTGTTTGAGTGTAACATTGATTTTAAAGTACTTCATTAAAAAGACTTACTGGTAAGATTGTCATAAGTTTCAACTTATTTCTGTAGCAGTAGATGCTATTAGCATTTAGAAAATATTAAAATTTATGTTTCTGGAGAAAAAAAATTCTAAAAGCAAAACTATTTTAAAACAAAATTTTAATTACGTATATATATTTTATTTTATAACCGTCGTTGAGGAGCCGACTCAATTCTGGGTTTACGACTACCAATGTTCAACTCTGTGTCCTTGTAATTTTGATACCAATCCAGAAGACAAGGGAGCTCCTGGATCAGTACCCCCCGGAGGTGTTTATTTGTTACGGAAACTTGGGGGACTTTGTGACCCCGACAGATTTAATCTTGCACGAATCACCATTAAATACACGGGGATTCTTCGACCGACTGAATTCGAACTCCAGTTCTCACAAACTTGTGCCCATTGCCCTACCAACCAGGCCACCCCTACCCCAAGCATGCATATTAAAAACGATTTAGTATTTTTGTAAGACAATTCTTCAACTTTAAAAATTTTTGCTCAACGTTACTGCTTTCGAAATATCGTAACAATAAGCTCAGTTTTCCAACTATGAGACATAATTATGCTAAGTCTCCAACGGGTCTGATTTAGCATGATGATTTCAAATTACGCGGCGGGATAGCCGAGTTGGTAGGGTGTTGGACTCGTATTCGTGAGTTCAAATGCAGCCGACCGAAGAATTCACGTGTATAACAAATCAATACTTTTGGGGGGCCCTAGGTGGTTCAGGGGATAGAGCGCTCGCCTTCTAATGAAGTGAATGGGTTTGAATTCCCGAGACGGCTGGTCGATATGNACTTACTCGAGAATTCTTAGTGATGATAAAATCCTTCCGTGAGAGTGCTTGTAGCCAACGTCTTTGTTGAGCTTCATCTTTGGGAAAATTAAATACGGCAACTTTTGGACCGTTAGCATAATTTCCTTTGCAGTTTACTGCACAGCAATGGTAAGGCATGACACATTAATATATATTGCAAATATGTAATCCAACAGTAGCTATCATAACTTAAAACTTCACGAAAACGAATTAAAAATAACAAAACACGTGGAAGGGGAAGAATCGGCGCCAAAGGGAATGACTGTTATGGTCACCGGAATTCCATTTCGCCAAAATCAAAGCTATGAACGACGCCAATGCTAATGGAAGAATGTGGCAGCCATTCAGGTCTACTTCGTTGGACTACCAACGGATCGGATTTTTCATTTATGTTAACCCGTGCTGAGGCCTTCCTTATTCTAGGAGGTATTGGCTTACCGTGGGAGGTTTCGCATGTAACGCAAATGTGAGTGAGTTCAATTAAAAAGTCTTCCAAGAAGGCCAATTTCTCCCAATACTTGATCCAGGAGTTCCCTTGTCTTCTAGATTGGGTTTAAAATTACAGAAGTTGAACAATGGTATCCTTAAAGTCAAACTTTAGGGTCAGCGACGGTTATGAAATAAAATAGCCCCATGTGCAGTTCTAAGCTGCGTAAATAAAGTACCTACCTCTTAACATTGAGATCAATTGTAAATTCTACAGGAATCAATGTTAGTTCCATTTTCACTATTCAGAAGGAAAAAAAGTTTTCACTATCATTTTTGTTGACTTTTAAGTAAAATGATTTTCGGATAAAATATGACTCCAGTTTTTATTCGCCACCCCTATTTTTATCACTCTTTGTTAATTTTGAATTAGCAATACATTTCTCGTGGGGAAAAAATTATTTAATAGTTAAATTTATTAACATAATCTCTGAATTAAAAATAATTAAAATAGTACTGCTCCGCTATTTTGGGTGTTCCACTTAACATTACGTTTTACTGCGCAAAAACGTAGAATTACTATGGTGCGCAAAAAATGCACAGGGGAGTACGATGGAATAAAATAGTGTAACATTCGATAGTTAGTTCCAGAATTAACTGTTCAATTTGTAGGGGGGAATAGTAACTTACGGTCAGCAGGGATGCTACTACAGAGATGCAATTCGGCATGCAATATTAACATAACTGAACACAGTGTTATTTTTTTTTTCTTGCCGTTTTTTTAAAATTTCGATTTGTTCGAAATTTATTGCAATTTTAAGTACTTTTTTTTTGCTAATTTTTTTCTCAATATTTTTGTCTTGCGTTACATTTTATCTTAGAGCGCAAAAAACTATAAGAAAATTGAAATTATGAAGGTGTGCAGAAAAATGTACAAGAAATTTGATGATTATTTGTTCGAGAGCTATGAATTGATAAACATGAAGTTGAAAAAAAATGCTGACAGCTCATTTAAATGCAACTACAAAGTTAAAATTTGAATGCTAACAGAACCGTTTCGAATTATTAAACCCTATAAGAATTTTTTTTCTTCGATATTGCTATTAGTTCGAAAACTATTTCAAATTTAAGAACCATTTTTTTTATTTTTTCCCTGCCAAATAATGACTTTTAATCCAATTTTTCTCGCGGTTTTCCTTTTATAAACTCTCATTTTAAGTAGTATTTTACGCATTTATTTCTAAGATTAATTTTCAGTGTGCATTGTTGTAGATTAGTATCGCCAAAGCAATTACAATAACTATTGTGAATGATTCTTGATAAAGCAAATGAATGAAGGTAGAAAATTGTGTCACTCATTCTGTAATCCTACGTTTAACCCCTTTTTTTAAAGCATGGTTGATTATTTTTGAAATCCAGATAACCTTTCATTTCGTTAGGATTAACATATTAATATAATGTGCTTGATAAAATCATAATAATTAAATATATTTTTATAAACAAAGTAATCTTTTATCTCGATTTTTTTTAAAAGAAAAAAAAATGATGAATTAGAACCAATTACAGGGTTGGTGAACTGGGCAAACATGGGGAGGAGCCTCTTAGTGTATAATACAATTAATGATTGAGAGCTCCATCAGTGAATCTTCTCCCTTTTCACCACAATTGTGGGTTATTTTGGAGGAAGGGAAAGGGGGGTGCAGGAAGATAGAATGGAATATGCTTTATATAAGTGAAAAAATCATGAAAAAAAAACATGGAAAAAATAATTTTTATTTTTTTTTCATTTAAGGAGACAAGTCTCCCAAATCATTCTCCTTGCTATAAATCAGGGAAGAGTTGGAGTAAAAAAACTAAAGAAGTTGAAAATAGAAAACCATTAACATTATGTGCAAAGCACTTTTTAAGTAATTGGGGGGGAAAAAAACTGAAATTTGTGGAAGAAAAAAAAGTGTATGTTGGATCATATATCTATACCAGGGGTGAAGAACCTTCATGCACCAACGTGCCATTTTTTCTAAAATATATTTTAATGAGATCATAGACGTGCCAACAAATAGTTTTGGCTTCGTGATTATTGAGTAAATAATCATACTAAATTTTATAAACTCAAAACTCTCTATTTACTACGAAAAAATGCAATTCTCAACTTTTGCAATGTCTCAGTTATACGCGTAATTCAACTTAAAGTAACATCAGTGTGATTTCTGTTGTTGCAGATTAGATGACAAATAACTTATATTAGGGTTATAAGATGTTAGTTTTAGCAAAACTGTTAATTTTTATTTATTGTTCGCTTGTTTTTTTTGTGGTTATTAATTGCTTTTTTGGCATTAATTGTTTTTTTGTGAATTTGTTTTTTTTTTAATTGTTAATATGCTGCATAGTAAACTTTGTGATCGGTGGAGTGCCCAAAATATTGTGTCGCATGCCATACGTGCCACTGGTTCGCCATCCCTGATCTATAGAATAGTATCAATGTTTTAGTTGAAAAAAATACATAATGCTATTATTTTAGATTGAGAAGCATGATGGGAAGTATTAATGCAATGCCCTTTTAGTAGTTTATACAATTATTATAAACTATTTGAAGTATTATTTAAAAAATTTTGCATTTTCTTTCGAAATTTTTTTTTTTTAAATTTGTATTTTGCTTTAATTAATATTATAAAAGCAACCAAAATATGAAAGTAAATAATTAAATTGATTGGATCTAAATATAATTACAGGTTTCAAAAATATTTAAAAAAAAACTTTGAAAAAAGTCCTTACTCTTTTCCTTTAGTCCTTTGAAAAAAGTCCCAACTTGTTTACCACTTCCACGGAATCCTTCGGTTCCACATAACACCATTTGGGAAACTCTGTTTTGCGTTAAGAGCATCCTTTCATTTAGACAGGATAATCTTCACTCCAATTAAACTGATCACAATTTTTTTTGTGCACATCATTTCAACCGATTTTTCTATAAAAATCATTCTGAATATGACTCCCTGTCCCACTGTTTTCAGGGGATGGTTTCACTTTTCGATAATTTTAAGGCCATTAACTTTGAAAAGCGGGAAGAATTATTTTAACCAATAAATTTTAAAATATAATGTGTAACATAGTTAGTTAATGAGAATGCCCCCAGTGAATGTTCTAAATCATCTTGGAAAGGTTTCCAGGCTTTTTTTTTTACCCACAATTGTAATTATCTATTTTTATTGTTTGAGGATATTTGAAAGAGAGCAAGGGGACTGAAAGATGGAATATGAAGTATATAAGAGAAAATGATTGCAAATAAAAAAAATCTATTTAATGTGGCAAATTCCCAAAATCCTCTTTGCTACAAGTATTTATGCTATAGAATTTTGCATCTCTCTTTAATTCCTCATAAGAAATTAAATTCCTGACAGTAATCTTTTCTGCCATTTTGAACAAAGTCTGAAAATTACCAAAAAGTAATTAACATAAGGAGAGTGTCTGCAGATAAAAGTGGACAGTGAAGGAAACGTTAGTCAGATTCGGAACAATCATTTTACAAGCGACAAAAGTAGGAATGGTGTTGGGGTTGTTTTTCCTACAGATCCGAGTTTTCCTTGTTTGAAATATAAAGATCACAATGGAAATAGTCAAAAAAAAAAATTTCAATAAAATTACAAAAATAGTTTATTAATCAAATAAAACTATTTACAAAAATATCTTACAAAAGTTGTCGGTTGCTAAAAATAAAATTTAACAAAGTTATTTAAAAAGTTTTTCTATTAAATTTCCAATTAATCTCAGGAAGGGATGCTCAATCATCGATTGAGATTTCATTGGTGATGGAGTGGTTGCCATAGGAACAGGAGAGGGAGGACCACGCCTCAAATATCGATTCATCGTAATGTTCATAGAATTGAGTTCTGGAGCCAGCTCTCGCTTGATAATTTGCTTGTCTCTCATATGTAGATCGGGGTGAAATATGGCAATGTTGGCTTGAGAAATCAACAAAGCCAAACTTACTTCTAATATATACATAATGACTGGCCTGGAAAAGAATAATACAGTCATTAAAAGATAGTAAAATTAAATGTTCAAAACAAGGAAGGCAAGTTTTTCTCACATTAGGAAAAAAAAACTGCCCTGGAAGTGGGTTTTTCCCAACCTCAGTGGAAGAAATGGTAAACTCCTCTCGAAAAGAAAATATTAAACCAGTTTATAATTGCATACTAGTTTAACCCTTTGAAGCACGCGAACATAAATTTTCATATTTTTTTAAAATTGAGAAACTAATTATGATGCATAGCGTCTAAGAATGGGAAAATTACATTAAAAAAAAATTCTGATTCATTGTCCCACAAAGAGGGTGGTGGTTTCGGTGGTTAACCAGTGTCCACATAGAACATTTTCATGTGATAAAAAAATATTATCTTTTTTAGCTTTTTTTACAATAAATTTTCACTTTTCAGAAATCAAACAATGAACTTAAATGCTAATGTTATTTAAATAATTTTAAAGACCAAAAAAGGCTTTGACAAATATAATATAATACAAAGATTATATATTATAAAATATATATTAGTGCAAATAAAAGGTATGAATTTCAAACACAAAATTTTTTTTAAGTAAAATATAATATATATTATACAATATTATGATGAAATAAATAATACAGAAATATATAATAAAAAAAATAAAATGTATAATAATAAAAATAAAATGTATAATAAAATGTTATAAAAAGTAAATTTCTTACTGCAGCATTCACTGCGATATATAATAATGTATTCTTATTCTTCAGCATTATTTTGTGCAATTAATTAATTTAATTATTCCTTATATTTAATATTATAATATTAATTATGTCTTATATTCCTTCCAAGTCCATTACGGCGAGACATTTAGATGGGGAAAAACTGCTACTAAAATACTTAAATTTTGAAATAGTTTTCAAAACAAATGAACTTTTCTATTATTGAGATTATAACTCTCATCTCGTAATTGAAAATCAACAATATAAATCAATAATAATAATAAAAAAATTTAAATTCTTAATTTTTGAGAGAAATGAAATGCAGAAAAATTGTAAAAGTAGAAAATAGATATAGCATCAACTAAATACGACTGTTCGCTTATTCAATAAGAACTCAAATGAGCAGAATAAATTTGTTTCAGATAAGAAGTTTGAGGTAATAGACTTTATTTTCAATANTTTTTTTTTTTTTTAAAGGAGAGGGGAAGATGAAGAAATGTTTGTTTATTTTGATTGTTAAAAAGTGTCCGGGCAATCGACCCTTCCGGAAAAGGGACGTCCGGATATGGGACGTTACACTGTATATGCTGAGTTGATTTTTGAGAGTTTTAAGTGATAGACTATTCAAAATAATCAATATTACAAGATTATCCATCGCATGCAGGTTCCTTAGGCTCTAAGTGAGACAACTCACAACAAATATTCTTGGACACTTAGATCTGGGTTTGAAAATAACTCTTTTATGTTCACACAAGTAATAACTTCAAAAAAAAAAAAAAAAAAAAAAAAAAAAAAAAAAAAAAAAAAAAAAAAAACTAAGCATTTGTGATCCCAGTAATAGTTACATAACATTTTTAAGAAACATTTAAGCTACATAAAAGTATAAGACATTGTATAAAAGTACAAATGATGTTTTTAAAAGTGATATTGTTTCAGCACTTGAAGTAGTAGCATCTTCAGTGTTGAGACTTTCTATATCTTGATAATGAAGATTGCACTAATATTACCATCAATCATTATAACTATAACATGTAATATCTTCATTATAAAGACATTTTGTATCTTAACATTGAATTAGATGTGCCATCATTGATAATTTCGATACCATTACAAGTAACATTTTCAGAGTTGAGACATTCTGAGTTTCGGCGCTGAAGATGGCACTTCATATAGTATTGAAACAGACCTGTGGTGGCTCAGGGGATATAGCGCTCACCTTTCAATGAGGTGTACAGGGTTCGAATCTCAGCACTGGCTGGTCATGAGGAGGTCGGCTTTGAAACAATATCAATTGATATTGTTTTAGCACTGTAAGAAGTACCAGCTTCAGTGCTGAAACCTTCCATATCTTGATATTGAAAATTGCACTAATAGTACCATCAATCATTTCAATACTATAATCTTTAATATCTTTATTGCAAATACATTCTGTATCTTAGCATTGAACAAGATGTGCCGTCATCGATACCATTACAAGCAACATCTTCGGCAAAGTGACATTCTGTGCCTCGACGGTGAAGATGTCACTTCATGTAGTACTGAAGCAACAGTGTGTTTTTGTTAACTACGTTATTCTTACTTGGGAACATGATGCTGTGCGTTATTGTAAAACAGTAGAAAATATCCTTTTTTTTTGGAAATTTAAACACAGATGTAACTGGAGGATTCAATATAATAGAACTAACAGTATAGATTTATGCATAAGTGAAAATGACTTTAATTTAAATATTATTATTATGATTAAAGGCTTGTTTTTACCTGTGCATTTGAGAAGGGGTCTCCACTGTTTTCCTAGGAGAAGGTGTTTTTTCATTCTGAAACATAAACGAATGACTCTTATAACAATGCATAAAACAAGTGAACAGTGGAATACATGAAAAAATTTCATGTTATTTAGTTAAAATTCACTTAGTGGACCAAGTAGATATGATGTTAGTATAATGGCTGAAAGATTAAAGCTAATTTTGATACATCTATGTAAAGTAAGCAGAAGATATCATTGCTTAAAATTTTGAGTACCATTTAAAATTGCTAGTTTTAATTTACCATAGATCATTTATATCTGACAGTGACTATACCATTTCAATAGAAAGTATTATTATAACTTCAATTAAGTTAATGTGTTAAAATTACCATTAAGATATATAAAGCATTCCAACAACAGTCCATTGTGGGCAAGGGAGGTCCATGGATGATAAGACTTCACAATTTTGAGACTAACGGCATAATTATGACATTGCACACAAGCCACCTTTACCTCCCAGATGTCACCATGGAAAACAATAAATGCATTACACATACCTTTACAAACTGTTTAAGGCACATACTGATGCAGGCTAACAAAGATCCAAAACCTAAAGGTCCATCACGATCCATGGAAGGTACACTGAAGTTGATGCTCAAGAACAGTTGCCACTGGGCATAATCATACGGCTGGAATAATAAAGGTGAAATAAGACTTGGTAATATCATTTAATACCTGAGAATGAACAATTTCAAAAAAAAAGAAAAAAAGATGCAAAACATTCTTGTGAGGCACTTTTGATTTTTTAATTTGACAGCACTTGAGTTAATTTTGTCAAATGATCAAATTGTTTTGATTCAAATATTTAGCAAAGAAACCAAAGACAAAATAATAGAATCTGATAGCCAAAGAAATTTCGATATCGTTATAGATACAGTGAAACCTCTCGGGAGTGACCACTCTCCGTTCTTGAGTAAAATGTTTACTGATGGAGATGGGTCGCTTTTGGAGGTTACCTCCATTGACTTAAAAATTGTTATCGAAGGTACTACATGAATTTTTACAAACGCTTTTAATTTCAGTTAGTTTAATTTTCTTCAAAATAACACTTTTGTTGGCGACATGAAAAGACGGATCAATGAATAAAATTTAGAGCCTTTAAAAATGATCCCAACTGATACAATTACGTGCAAAAACAAATTTATCAATGATGAATGATAAAGCTATTTTAAATAAATAAATAATTATGTTTTTTGTAAAAGTTTGCATTAAATTTTATACCATAGTTAACTTTAAAAAGTGAGAAGAGGTTTGCTTATTCGAGATGCTTGTTTTTCCTAAAATAACTCTTTTTTCTAATTTAACCTCTAACAAATCATTGATAGTATCGTCTTTAACGCACTCTGACTGCAACATGAGGTTGTATAGTTAAAAAGAGCTCTTTGAATAGGAGCTTCACACAAATATTTTGAGCAGATTTTGATCTACTTATTTGTTCTGTTAATTTTTTTGGGTTTCCTTTTTTGAATTTTTTCGCATTTTAGATGTTTTCCCGGTTACAGGGAGAGGTTTTAAAGGGTCACCCCTAAAGGTTTTCTTCAACGCAAAGTCTGTGGAAAAAATTCCACGCCTCCCAAAAGTGGCCGTAAATACAGATGGTCTTTCCTAGAGGTTTCACTGTATATTATTCCTTTTGGGGAAATTAGATGAAAATAAGTGGCTGAGTCCTATAACCAGTGAGTTTACTAAGCAGCAGGCACTGTATTATGTTTAGAAAGATCAGAGCAGGGCTGATTGTGAGTCAAACTCAAAAATCCGGAAAATTTCTTGAGTAAAATCATTAAAGACGCATAATGTCTTTATAAATTTAAATCATTGATATTTTCAAAACATTGAATTCTAAATAAATTATATACAGCATAACTTAAATGAATAATTATGTATAAGTTTACTTTAAACTCTAATCACATTTCTTATTCTACCAGAAAAAATATTTACAAATGAAAGATACCAAGTAAAAATTCTAGTTCTTCTTCTTGGGCACTACAGCCTATGACAGGCCAAGGCCGTCCCAAAAAGTTTTTGCCTTCTGGATCTATTCTGTGCCATGGCCAAGTTCTAATATTTTTAAATAAAATATACAAGAATTTTTATACATAAATGTGACCTATGATTTCTTGAAACTTCGGGACCAAAGATTTCCAGAATCTTCAGGAGTGCAATTTGGGAAAAATCCGGAAATCCGGATTTTTTCCAGAGTACAATCACCCCTGTCAGAGTTAAAGCCTTTTCAGTCTTTAAATAAAAACTAAAAGTAAGAAGGGAACACTTAATACAACTGGTAACCTGATTAAAAACAATGATAAAATAGACATTACTTACATTGCCAGATAAAGTTTCATATAGTTCAGGACTGAATTTATTTAGTATTGTGAGAGTAACTGCTAACAGTTCGTACAATCTAAAAAAAATAATTAAAAAAAATATGATTACAGCCTATTTATGCAAGATTATAACTTATTTTTTAAACTTTTGTCTTCCATAGTTGCCAACATGAAAAGAGAAGAATTCAGCGAATTTCACAACAAGCAACAAAAATTATGTTACGCTAAAATAACTATAAATTTAAATTTACTTGCAATATTTACCATTTATGATTAATATTGAATAAATTTGAAAACAAAATGTCTTTATGCTTATAATGCTTTTGAATTTACTATTTTGAATAGCAATAGGTACTTAATTTCTTTTTTAAAGTTGTAACATTTTTTATTAATTCAAAAATAGAGAATTTTAAGAGTATTTCAAAAAGAAAAGCCGTACGCTAATAACTATATTGAGGCTTACTTTATTACAATCATTAACTATATTAAGAACATTTAAAATCATAAATATTAAAATCTTTTACTAAAACAATATATGTTTCAGTCACATTGATACTCCTTCATCAGTAGGATAAATGTCAGGAGATGGTAAAACAGAGAAGAAACTAATTTAATATTTACAATCCTTATTTAAATTTTATGAAACTTATTCCCAATCAAGAAATACATTAATTGAAAAACTTATTACAATAGGGACTTTTTTCAGAAACTTTTTGAATCGCAGAAATTTTTCTAAAACAAAATTCTGTACAAATTGAATGTCTGTACAAAAACGAAGAAAAATTTTTGATTAAGCCAGTAGACCGAAAAAAAAACTAACAAAGCCTAGTAAATATACTAGAATATTCAGCATATTAACTAGAAGGAATCAATGATTTCCATGAAGATAATGCATTTTAGCACATAGCCTGCCATTCTTATGACTGTTGTAATAAGCAACACTAATTATTAAGAGTTAAATTGAAAGATAGGATGAGAATTAACATAGCACAAAATTTTAATAAGAAAAAATTTGTTTTTTCAAAATTAAAAAGTGCTTGTGATATAAGTTTTTTTTATGCTTTTAAAAGGTACTATATAACTGCATCCAAAACTATTTACTGTTTTAGACTGCTTTCACCAAGTTGATAAAATATGTAACAAAATTGCAATTTTTATAAGAAAAAACTAATATTTTTTTAAAATAATTAAAATTTTTTTCTCTTTCTAAAGCAATTTTTCAAAGTAAAAGGAAGATAGTACACTAAAATTAAATTTCAAATTTAAGAGACATAAATTGTATTTTTGTTTAAATATTATTTTCTTTGACTAAAACAAACCTTCAAAAACACATTTAATTAAAATTTTATGATTTACTTCTCTTGAATTTCAGACACTTCAGCTGGCATTTGACTTTCATCTTCAGAACTTCCTCGCTTCAATAAGTTTTCAGTTTCTATGTCATTCAATGATGTGAGCTTCGAGTCTGGAATCTTTTTCTGTAAAAATATGCACGTGTTACATTAGACATCTAAATTTACAAAACATAAAATAAACAGGGCGTCTCAAAAATGTTGTGATCCAATTTTCACTCCTCAAAAACTTTTATCGAAAATAATCTCCATCAATATTGGTAAAATGTTGAGTATAGTTTTTTCCATATTAAAGAAAAGTAATCACTTTGAAAATCGGAAGCTTCTGTCTTTTCCTGATGTTGAAAAAAAGTGAGCATTTTGTAAAGTTGTTGGGAAAAAAAATGCAAAAAAATTATGTTAAATATACTTTATGAATAAATTCGTCTTATATTATTATAACGATATTAATAACATCATACAAAATTTATAATACTTTATAGTTAGCTAGTATTATAATATTTTTCTAAAACTGTAATAAACCTTATAATGATTTACAAGCTCAAACTTTTATATTTACCATTTGCTTTGAGGCTTCACTTCAAAATATCTTAACAACCATAATTTAAAAAGGATTTAAATGTTTCTTTAATTTATAATTCCAGCAGTAGCATTTGAATAGCATGATATGCCGCTCCACACAAACAAACACGGAGGAACAAATAACACCACAATAAATTACCGTTAAACAAATACAAAAGTCAGTGAGTTTGCAAGGGCAGTCATTTTTCTCTAGCATTCCAACATATCTCACAAATGTCAAGTGAGACTGCTGTCAGGCATACTCAGCATTCATCATACAGTCACTACAGGTGAACTCTAATTATTCAACACAACATTAAAATAAGAGTAAAACTACTTAAAATTATTATAGGCTAAGTTTATAAAAAAAATTACTCATATTTCACTTTTGTATTTAAAATAACAATACAATATCATGGAAAAAAAATCCTTGATAAATTTTTGTTTTCTGATTAATCGAGATGTTTAAGTCAGAGGTTGAGGTATATTGTTCACTAAAATGCGTTGTTGATGGACACTATTTTACTTGAAATAAAATGTATTCGTAAACGTAAGCAGCCAATATGAAATATATTTGCTGCTTACTTGTGATTGATCACTAATAAATTTAGTAATAAGTTAAATAAAATAACATTAGCTTAAACGTCACTATTGTTTTTTTTTCTAACAGTCAAATTTTGGAATCATTGCCAAAGCAGTAATTAAATTGAACTGAATTTCTCACAAGGTTCAAAAACAAATTAGTAATTGGGTAACATCAGCTGTAATAATGATGATATGTGAGTCCGGACATTTTTAATGCTTGATGAAAGAGGAGTTGGATAACCAAAGGATCAGAAAATCTACTGTATTGCACAAAATATGATTTGGGGTAGATAGTAATCTAAACCTATGTAGATTACACAGGAATTTTAATGCTGTTGTTGTTTTGTCTTCATTATTATTAACTGCTTCAAGGTTACAAATTGGGAATAATGCAGAATAACGGTTAATCATTAATTCTAGAGTGTCAACTTGGCATAATTAATTATTAGATAATTATAGTTTACAATATAGTTCGTATTAGAAAATAATAGTGGTTTACAAACAGAACCTATGCCTTTTTTTTAAACAGCATTTCATCCTACAAAACTTAATAGAAGTCTGAAATTTTTTTTCGTTAACACTGAATTGCAAACTATATTCCTTTATTGCAATGCTATTGTTGCAACTACCAGCACTGTGTTGGTGCTATCTATGTGCCTGCCACACTCATCTAATTTTGATTTCGTTCTGAAAAAGGATCTATAAGTTATCTGCAAGCTATAAGCTTGGCTGTTTTCCCGTGTGAAATTATATCCCACTTTCCGCCATGTGCTATACTAATGTCTGTATTGCAAGCAATACATAACGCGTACGATGTCCCCTTTCTTGATTTTTTGACGAAATCAAATTCTTCACCATAATTGTCGCGAAAACACTGACTTCGCCGAATTTTTGACATTGTTTCAGATTACCATGTGGAAAAACATTCAAAGCTAAACTCAAATCGAAGAGATGCGTTCCGAGTAAACATTCAACACCGGTACGGTTGCAAGTAAAAGACAAGGAGTCAGGAAGCTAAAATTTCCTCTTGGTGTCTGTGAAGCGACCCGTACATACGTCATCAAATATACGAATGGAGCTAGAGGCGGAGCTAAGTGATAACGCGACTTGATCGCTTTATAGAGTAAAAGAAAAAATTACGCTATGATGAAAAATCGGAATATTTTGACCCAAAATCGTATTATCGGAACAAGGCATA